AATGCCGACTAAGCACCTTTCGGACAGCGTCTGTGCTGTGTGCGGACAGCAGATCTTCGTGGACGTCAATGAAGAAGGGATCATAGAGAACACGTATAGACTCTCCTGCAATCATGTGTATCCTTTTCTGGACCCAGTGCAGCCTGCTTCCTACCAGCGTTTTTGTCTCCGATTCTGGTACAGAGGGGCTGTTCTTAGTGCCGTTTGACATAGGCTGTGCACATCTCAGGGGGGCAGGATGTACTGCATGGGTTGAGGTGAAAGGAATATATACACTGCCTTGCTTCTTCAGGTGGCTTTATGGTTTCTATTATAAACTTACGTTTCTGGCTGAGCAGCACCCGAATCTAAAGCGTTCCCAGGGACAACACCCAGGTGCCCTAGGAAGCTGGTACTTCGTATTGGTAGATAAATGTCGTAGCGTGGGCGCCATTGGATCCAGCCCACAGAGCCAGGGAACTTAGCAGTGTTTCAGTGGCAGGGGGCTTCCCTGCTGCTGGGTCCAGGCAGCTGTGCCTATGCTGTGCAGCTGGGGCTGGGGAGATGTGGCATCAGAGAAAAGTGGCGCCAGCTTGCCCCAGACCCAAGCTGGGTTGCTCCAGCCTCATCTCTGAAAAGCTGCAGACTGCTGTCCTAGCATGATACCAGGTTGGCAGTTTGCTGCTGGAGGTACTATCTTCCAGATGAGCCATAGGAGCAATGATCTGAGTACTGCTTGGAGAGCTTTGGCTTGCAGAGGTTGGCATCCCAGTCAGATTCCTGCTTGGGGGATTTCACTCTGCCGCCGTGATTTCCCCCTGCAGTTTCCATTATGGGAAGTATTTTCCTCTTCTCAGAAAAGGAAACCTTGGGCAGCATTCCAGCAGGGGGGCGAAGCAACTAAGCACATAAGCAGCATGTACGTGTGCACCAGGAACTGCTTTCTTATCCTTTTGATCAAGGGGCAATGTGTAAATTTAAATCAGATGCTTTGCTCCAAGGCACAAGGGAGTTTCCTAATAGAGTTTTAGAGCCTTCCCGTCTGGGCTCGCCAGCTGTAATCTCAGCTAAAACAACTAATAATGAAACCACTTCTATCTAAGGCCTTTGTGATTTGCCTGTAGGATGGAAAAGAGCTTGGTTTGGACCCTAGTTCTCCAGGGTTAAGCACTCACCACTGAAACAGGCACCGAGAGATCCTCATTGATGTTGAACCTGGCACAAAGGTTGGCTGTTCAGCTATCACAAGTGGCTCTCCAGGGTAGGCTAGAGAAGCTTGCACTGCTTTCCCCCAGAGGGAAGGCACAGTGGTTTCTTATCACATCTTTCAGGGTGTGGTTTTCTCTGCACGCCAGGTGGTACTGGTGTCAGGAAAACCTTCAAATACTGCACGCGAGAAATAGCTGAATGTGGTTTCACAAATGGAAAATCTGAGTTGCTTATGCAAATATTGAGTCCTACGAACCATCCTAATGACTCCGGGGCTTTTTGGTTCTATGCTTATGACACAGTCGGCAGTTTCTTACCTTTTGTGCAGGTATGGCACCTTGGCCCAGCAAGCGTGATCTGTTGAAAACCAACCCAAAGCCACTTGTTCTACCTCTTTGGCTCCAGATAAACACTGGTTGCAGCATATGTTGTTCTGGGCTGGGGCTGCTCACATCACTGAGACATCCACCTATGCATTTGAAGGCTGGAGACTGCCTGATGTGGTAGTTTATTTTCAGCTCCCTGAGCCCTAAAATATGGCAAATCCAGTACACAGAGCAAACCAACTACTTGCTTCCGCTGCCCTAGTTAGCAGCACCGCTGAAAATTTCCATTAAGCTTCAGAGTGAAGCTGCTTGGAAGGACCACTGGGGAGCACTGCGCCCTTTGAAGCAGACACCATCTTATTGCACTGGTCACTTATTGCTAGCCAGATCCTGGGGCTTTTAGCAAAAAGTGTGCAAACAAGTGTGCGCTCCTCGAAACCCTTGTCATCCTGCTTGGATGATAAGGCTTTCCCTAGCATGGCTTTCCATGATCATCTTTATAAATATCCTTTTTTATTTCAGAAGAAACCTTAGATTCGGGAGCAGCCTACAAATCTCAGAGTCTGAACTAATCTTACTGTCACTTGTATTACTGTTTTACATTAATTTTAATTGTTTAATTATCTTAATATAATGATTTTAACTTAAGGATAAATAAGTATTCAGGGTTTTTGTTTTAAGACTGTATTATTAAAGCTTGAGTAGCCTGCATATTAGACTTGGTAAAATCTACAGTTGAGGATATTAATTTCCCACTGGGTTAAAGGAGACGAGACAGCTTTGTACCTTGCATCAGCTGTTTAGTGATGACTGTCCACACGCATACTCATAAGTGGAAGCCAGACTAATAGTTTAGCCACCTTTCATTGAGGATAAGCTCTCACAGTTCGTCTTTCTCTTATCACGCGGTAAAGATGTACACGCAGGCAGTTAACAAGGAGCAGCTGAAGCAGGACAAATCTCAGTCCACTCTTACTTTGCAGTGAAGTATTTACATATCTGTACCCCGTGTTGGCTTCTGGGTTTCAGATGGTAGTAACTTATTTGCCGGTTGGTTCATTTTGAACTTTTACCGTGGGCTAACAGATCTAATTGTACGTCCTTGCATGCGGTCTGATCTCACTCATGGCTTGCTGTACAACTGGGAGGGATGTGTGGAACGTGCAGATGTGTAGCGCATCTGTACAGAACGGCACTACCAGCCTACAAACTTCAGCCTGTTTGTGGTAGCACCGTGGACAGGACCCCACGTGCGAGGCAATCCGTAAAGCAGATCCATTCTCCAAGAGTCAGTAGCTTGGGTCCAGTGATGACCCTGGTCTTGGTTCACTGCGGTATCCCCTCCTTGCTTTCTGTCCTTGTCCTGGACCTCTCCTTCCATTTTTCTCTTCAGTCTCAAAAACTAATGGTTCCCGTCTTACTATCTTCCTTGCCCTTTTCTGCTGCCCTCAGATCTACAGCTCAGCTGTGCTGCTCCAACTAGCTGTTTGTTCTGTCATTTCTAACCTCTTGTGTTCCATCATCTCACTTGTTTTCTGTCCCTTCCTCCTTCCTGCCTGTTCTGTCGCTCCTCTGTCCTCATTAAAATACTGCAGCGCCATCAAGGAAGTGCTATAATTCTGTTGCCTTCCCCTCCTTCCCCTTATACCCATTTCTCCTTTACTAGTCTTGACACAGTGCATCAGGGTAAATTCAGTGACAGGCTCATCGAGGTACAGACTGTGTTTTTTGTAATGTGCAAAGCATACTAAAGCATTTCTATGACCAGGTCACTCTTTCTGTGACCAGGTCACTAAATGCTTAGATGCAGGGGTCAAGGTAGATGCCATCTACTTGGACTTGAAAAAGCCCTTTGACACGGGATCCCATCCTATTCTTATAAACAAATTGAACAGCTGTGCCATAGACAACTACGCAGTCATTTGGGTTGCAAAGTGGCTTAAGGGTCACCCAGAGAGTGGTGGTGGATGGGTTGGTATCGACCTGGAAAGATGTGGGCAGTGAGCTCCCCCCAGGGCTCAGTCCTTGAGCCGGTGCTGTTCAATATCTTCATCAGTGACCTGGATGAGGGTATGGAAAGCACTCTGTCCAAGTTCGCAGATGACACCAAACATACTGATGGGAAGAAACTGAATCCAGGCGGACCTGGACAGGTTAGAGAAGTGGGCAGAGAATAGGATGCAGTTTAACAAGGACGAGTGCAAGGTGCTGGACCTAGGGTGAGGGAATCACCAGCACATCTATAGGCTGGGGGATGACCTCAGCAGCTCAGCGGCAGAAAGAGACCTCAGAGTCATTGTCGACTCCCAAGATGAATATGAGTCGTCAATGTGACAAAGTAATTAGCAGAGCTAACCGCACTTTGTCATGCATTAGTAGGTGCATCACAAACAGGTCCAGGGAGGTGATGCTCCCCCTCTATGCGGCACTGGTCAGACCACAGCTGGAGTACCACATCCAATTTTGGGCTCCGCACTTCAAGAAGCATGTGGACAACCTTGAGAGGGTCCCGAAGAGGGCAACTCATATGGTTAGAGGCCTGGAGGGAAGGCCCTAAAAGGAAATGCTATGGGACCTGGACCTTTTTTGGCCTCTGCAAGAGAAGGCTGAGAGGGGATCTTGTGCCAGTATACAAATTCACCAGGGTGGGGCAGCAGGGAATAGGAGATGCTCTGTTTACCAGGGCAGCCCTTGGCATAACCAGAAACAACAGCCACAAGCTGATAGAGAGCAGATTTAGATTGGACATCAGGACTTACTTCTTTACGGCTAGGATTGCCAGAATCTGGAAAGGGCTCCCAAGGGAGGGGGTGCTCTCCCCTGCCTTTGAGGTCTTCAAGAGGAGGCTGGACAAGCACCTGGCTGGGGTCACATGACCCCAGCGCTCTTCCCTGCCACAGGCAAGGGTCGGACTCGATCCATTGAGGTCCCTTCCAACCACAACACCCACAAATCCATAAATCATTGTATGAAAGGAAATGAGACAACCATGTGGTATTGTTTAAAAAGAAAATAAGACTTAACCCTAATATTAGGCTTGGCAAAATAAAATAGCGATACTTGGAAACTTCAGGTTTTTTTCTTGAGGTTCCTGAAAGAGGCTTAGACTGACCGTATTGCGTGAGAGTTCATAGCTGCTGCCTGGTATAACTTTAACCAAGGAAAAGAGAAACCAAAGAGGAAGCAGGCGTGCTACGTTGTCGTACTCGGTCACTTGTGATGCAGATGTGGGGAGGACAGGAGTTCTCCGTCACCACAGATGTAAGGTCAGACTTCTTAAATTAGCAAAGATGAATAAAGAATTTTCCTTCAGGCAGATTCTGGAAGCATGTGACCTCCTGCGTGTTTCCATCATGCAGTGACTGGCAGTTGCACTGATAATACCAGTGCAACTGTTACCATAACACCTAACATCGTAGAGACTAAACACAATTACTCATGTATGGAATTTCCTAGCATCCCGTTCACCCCCTTCTCCGACAGAAATGACTCCCAGGCACAGGGCAGCCTTGGCCTGAGCCAAAGCAGAGTTGCCAAAAGTGGATAAAGATAAACAGGAGAGGGAATTGGCACTTTTTTTCCTTCATAGGCTCCTGTGCTGGGTTTTACCAGCAGCTTTGCACTGCACTGGCTGAGATGAAACAGCAGCAATAAATGTCTGTTTTCAACAGGCTCGGAGAGGCTGGGGGATGCCCCAGGGGTTTGCAGTCAGGCCAGCATTTGGCAGCTGTAGCCTGGAAGGGGAAGGAACAGTGAAGCAGCGAAGTCCTCCAAGGGCGCAGTGTGTAGAGTTCCTCTTCTTGGGGCCCTAATTGTGGTAAATGCCACGGCAGATGGAAAGGACTAGAGAAGTGCATTGAAAAGCAGGTCAAGCCTCTCTAAACTGCCTGCTCCAGTGCCGTCTGTCGTGATGGCTCCATGAAAAACAATCTGCTGTGGACTTGTAGGGAGCCGCTGCTTTCCTGCAGCTACCTTCCTAGGCTGCAGGCTGGAGGAATAGTGCGGGGTCTCTGCGGGCTGGATCCCAGACTAGGCCTGCCGCCCCCACCCCGCTCATGCCGGTTTGGACCCACTGTCCCAGCCCTGCCTGCAGGCCTGATCCGATACCCAGGGCTGTCTCACCTGGATGCGGAGCTTGGGAATTTGGCAGTGGGGGAACAACGGCAGCATTAATTACCACTGCTCCCCCACCACCAAATTTCTGGGCCTGCAGGGAGCTCCGTGGGCTAGATGACGTGGCCAGATGAATCTCAGTAAGAGATTCATTCTCAGTCCTGGTGGCGAATGCCTTTTGCTCTTAATCTGACATGCTTCTCACTTCTAGTCTGAATGGGTCAAAAGCAGACTTAAAGGGATGGGTGCCCTCAGCTTTTAATCACCTTGTCCTGGTATTTTGTGCATGTTGAAGAATTGGGCTTCACCTCTCCCCTGTGAGGAGGTATTGTACCCACTTTACAGCCAGGAAACTGAGGCACGAGGCGTGAGACGCAGGTAGGGACATCTAGGCTTGCTTAGTATTTTAGAGATGTATGTGCTCAGGGCAGAGTGTGTGGTAAAGCACATACACAAGGAGGAGAAAATACAGTTGCACAGGCTTAAATCTGACCTGTGCTGGTTCTTGCATGTTTGGACTGCACTTTTTCAGATGCTTTTCCTTCCCCCTTTTTAAATGAAAGCTGGCTGTCATGTCGAATCATAACAGCCTTGGATGTGAATAGCTATCAGGATTGCGATCACTTAAGCCACAGCACAGGCCTACACCGTCTAAGCAAACAGCATGTGCAGAAGCTGCAGAAGGCAGCTGCGTTCTGTGTGGACCCAACGCGAGGAGGAAGTTGGTTTCAGGGGCGCTGCTTGAGGGCAGGAGAAATGGGCCCAGCTCCAGGTTGGGGACAGAAGCTTGCTTTTAGGCAGTCCCTTATGCCTCCCACCCTCTTTCTGTCTCCAGTAATTAGTCTCTTGAGTGTCATGGCCTCTGTTGCAAGCCTAGGCCATTTTCAAGGAGTCTTGGCCAAGCTTCGGAAATGTGGCGAAGGAGAAGGGCCTAAACTATAAAACGAACCTTTGCAGACGAGACAGCCAGCTTGGTCAGCAAAGGAAAGAAAGCCATCAGCACATCCAGCTAAACCAGCCATGAGATCCAGTTAAACAGAGCACAAGTCCTGACAGGAGACATCACAAGGGAAGACCGTACGTTACATAATCCAAATATACTATAGCATAGCTTTATCTTAAAATGTTATTAGTAGTGGTTGACGTAACCAAACAGGCTCTACTTTGCTAAAATAAATAGCTTTGTGTTCAGGTTCTTAGATAAGTTGTAAAAAGAAAGCAGCCTTGTTGTTCTTCCCCGTAAATTTTTGGGAAATGAGAACCAGGATGATGGCAAGCCACATTGCCTGATGGTGAAGGAAGGAGATAAGGAATCCTTCCTTCCAGAAGTGGGATTAAATCCCAACCATTTGACATCTTTCACGTCCACGAGAAAACTCGGTCAGTCTACTCTGAAAGTTTTAGTGAAACAAATTTAAATCAAGCCAATTGCAGAACACACATTAGAATATTACAACCAGCCACCTCTAAATATAGGGCAGCGGTTTGCAACCTGCGGTCCACGGACCCCTGGAGGGGCCTCAGACTGTTGTCTGAAGGGTCTGTGAAAGAGGACGACGATCGATTAGAAGTATGAGAATACCCGCACTTACAATTCAAAGGGGTCTGCACCTCTGTTCGACATGTTTTTAGGGGTCCACAAGGGAAAAAAGTTTGAAAACCACTGATACAGGGTATAGGTTGGAAGGAAGTTTGAGGAGCTCGACACATTGAAGAAGGCCAGCTACGAATCTGCATGCTACCGGTCTCTCTTGTCTTGAGTCTCCCCAGCCGATATAGGTAAGACTCTATGGTGTGCTGTCACAGGTAACCAGATTAGACGGTGGGATAATTCTGGGTTTTTGTGTTTAGAGAAGTAAGCAATAAACGGTTGGGCTGCGAACCTGTTTCTTGCCTCTTGTATTGGTAGCCAGCTTGCAAGGTTACCTGCAATTCAGGCCACACTCTTCAGGCTTTTCCTGTATAACCTGGAAACTCCCCAAGTGAGTCTCGGGCAGCGTTTAAGCCCAACGCATGAGTTCTTAAGAAAAATTAAGACATGCATTTAAAACCCTGGTGCTGTTGCTTCTCTCCCCTAGCATGCAGTGCCCCACTCCTCTGCATATGTTTTCATCCACAGTGATGCTATATTATGTTGCTTCAGGCTCCACTTCTGCAGGTGATGCACCAGCCAAGCCCCTGACTGCTAAAGGAAAGAGCAATAGCAGGGAAGTCCTTGCCGGCCCTAGTATTCCTGAGCTCAGTGTAAGTAAGAGTCCTTGAAGACATCACCTCCCTAGCTGAGTCTCTGTAGAGCACATGCAAACTTTGCAGCCTTGCAGAGGTGGTTAAGCTGATTGAATCATTGGTAAGCTGTTGCAGAGGATGTCCTCGATACCAGGTCAAGCCTGGTCTAGATCTTTGGTCCTGATCACGTATCTCCGAAGCAGAGAAGTGTAGAAATCGGTCGGTCAGGCAGAATTACCATAGCAAGGGTAAAAATGGGCTTTATCCTCTTGGTGTCAGCAGCAGCTAAAGTCTTTTGGCTGAGCGTTCCCACAACTCCCCTCAGTGCGGGCAGGCACCCAGCACGGGGGACAGCCGCTCCTAGAAGGGCAGTGCCTTGGACTTCCCCTAGTTACTGAGCCACAGTAACTCGGCCAGCAGCACATCTAGGAACATCTGCTCCGTGTTGCATAACAAGGCGCTGTTTCCAGTTGCTCGGGAACTGAAAACACATTTCTGATGCTAAGGAGGTTTCCCTGTCGACATGGACCATTAAGCCTGTCCTGAGCGGTAAGGATAACAGAGTGGAACAAGACTTGTACTTCTCCATTAACGACTATCTGCTTAGGAAATGCTTGTGTCTAGGGGGAGGTGGGGTAGAGGTCATAGCAAAACAGCTGCTCCTGGCTCTTAACTGAGGCATTCGCGTATACATGTGAGCTGTGAAAAAGCAATGGACATGTGGCTGCTGGCGCCGATTTGAAAGCAGCCATTTGAGCACTGAAAGCAGGTTGACTGGGTCTTGGAGGTGATGAGTTCCTACTGCAGTTTTGCCACTAACTCTACTTTACCGTGATTTTTTCCCCCCTCCCAAACAGCAGTTTCCCTTAACTTGTCACCCCCTCAGATTTCACGAGTTCTGTATCCGAGGCTGGTGCATCGTGGGGAAGAAGCAGACGTGTCCATACTGCAAAGAGAAGGTGGACCTCAAGAGGATGTTCAGCAACCCGTATCCTTTTCTGGGCACTTCTTAGATTATTACAGTCTATTCCTTGAAAATAAGCTCTTCAGCAAAGCTAGTCTTGCAATTAACCAGAAAGCCGCTGTGGTTGTGGGAGGACCCCTTGGTTCCCGTAGCAGCTTTGCCAGTAATGCCGTGCAATCAGGCACTAGAGGGTAGGGCTAGGATTCAGAGAGACCTTGACAAATTGGAGGATTGAACCAAAAGAAATCTGAGGTTCAAGAAGGACGAGTGCAAAGTCTTGCACTTAAGATGGAGCAATCCCATGCACCCATGCAGGCTGGGGGCTGATTAACGGCAGCAGCTCTGCAGAAAAGGACCTGGGGGGACGGGGGACAAGAAGCTGAACAGGAGCCAGCAGTGTGCCTTTGTCGACAAGAAGGCTACCAGCATCCTGGGCTGCATTGGTAGGAGCATTGCCAGCAGATCAAGGGACATGATTCTTCCCCTCTATTTGGCACTGGGGAGGCCACATCTGTAGTCCTGTGTCCAGTTGTGGCCCCCACTACAGAAAGGATGTGGACACATTGGAGAGAGTCCAGTGGAGGGCAGCAACAATGGTTGGGGGCTGGGGGATGGGACTGGTGAGGAGAGGCTGAGGGAACGGGGCTGATTGAGTCTGCAGAGGAGAAGACCGAGGGGGATTGAATAGCAGCCTTCAAGTCCCTGCAGGGGGTTGCAAAGAGGATGGAGCTGGGCTGTTCTCAGTGGGGGCAGATGACAGGACAAGAAGCAATGGGCTTAAGTTGCAGCAAGGGAAGTTGAGGTTGGATATTAGGAAAAACTTTATCACGAGAGGGTGGTGAAGCACTGGAACAGGCTCCCCAGAGAAGTGGTGCAGTCTCCATCCTTGAAGGTTTTGAAGACTTGGGTAGACAAAGCCTTGGCTGGGATGATGTCGTTGGGACTGGTCCTGCTTTGAGTCAGGGGTTGGACTGGATGTCACCTCCTGAGGTCCCTTCTCACCATCATTTTCTGTGATTCTATGGGCCGGTCTCTGCTCTTATCGGAGCACAGGTTTAGCACGAGTCTGAGGGAAATTAACACTGGGTTTGCCTTAAACCTGTCCCCTCCTCTGTGTTGCCAGCTGGCAGATGTGTAGGATCTTGGCTTCCTTGCTGTAATGACGGATGCTTTGAGGAGCTGTCCCCAGGGGCATCACAGCCCCGACGCTGGGTTGAAAGGGGGCAATGTTTCAGTCATTCCCACAGCAGAGCGATGCCTCGTTTCCAGTCCCCGGGCTGCGTTCTGCCCCATGCGGCCCCAAAGGCCGGCTGTGGCTGCCTGCCCAGCACCGCGTGGAGGGGTGAGGCTACTCCACTGCGCTGGGATTGCACTGTTCGGATCCCTCTTAGGAGAAGCCCCATCACCAGTGCCCAGGTGGGCCCCGTGCTAGAGCCTGACTTAGAAGAGATGCTACCAGCCCTCATCCCCCTGCTTTACGTGAGGCAGGTCGGTGTCTTTGGTCAGTATGCCTGGTAGCTGTGCAGTAGGGTTGAGTGGGTATAAGCACTTGCATGGGATGATTTGGGTAGAGATGATCCTGCCTCCAACAGGGGTTTGGATTAGATGTGACCCCCGGTGTGTCCTGCCATCCCAGCTGTGCTGTGATTCTCTCTTAGTAGGATCTCTGATGGAGAATTAGCACGGCGAAGGTCTGTTTTGTCTGCGGGCTGTCTCCAGATCCAGGCGACGCTAATGCCAATAGCAGGGCTGCTCACGCAACTTTGAGCAAGACGAATGCCTTCCCCAAAGCTCTTCTCGGGCAGCCCTGTTTTGTGTCCGCTTCCCTTGTGCTTTGCCTCTTTAACTCCTCCACATCCAGCTGGGAACGGCCGCACGTCATGTACGGACAGCTGCTCGACTGGCTGCGCTACCTCGTGGCCTGGCAGCCGGTTATAATCGGACTGGTACAAGGCATTAACTACATCCTGGGTCTGGAATAATCCGTGTGGCCGGGGAGCCGCAGAGCTGCTTCAAGGAGGACCCGCGTCAAGGGCAGAGGACAACAGCTGGCCGGGAAGACTCAAAAGTTTTTATCACTCACCTCTCAGGATCTCGGCCATCCATGCAACACTTCTCCAGGGGCTGCCCGAAGACTGGGCCGGGCAGCTCCCAGCACGGCGAGTTTCTGCCGGGGCTGGAGCGGGCAATTCTTTTTTAAAGCGATTATTTTAATGAGCATATTTAAAACTTTATATTGCAGATTCAAGAGGGTTTCCTTTTTCCCTCCTCGCCCTTTATTGTGTTATTCCTCTAGAATGAAGAAAGGCACGGCGTGTTAGGAAGCTAGCAGGGTCTGCTCACGGAAACTCGGCACAGCTTGCTAGGTCTTCTTGCGCAGTCAGGCTCATCCCCATCCTTTGTCGTCTGCTTAGTTTTGTTCTTCCTCCCTCTTGCCAGCAGCTCCGCTATCAGGGGGCGGACGGCTCCTGCAGCTTCGTTCGCTGCAAGACCCAACTGGATTCCCACCTGAGCAGCGGTAGGGTGAATGCCACTGCCAGGAGCAGCCGGGCCTGCAGTGAACTAGGCCTGGAGTTGCACATCTGCACTTGGGAGACGCAGGGCTTACATTGCAGGCACTGCACCTATGCGCGTAACACCCCGGGAGTCCAGCACTGCTGCGAGGGGCAGATGCTGACGGGAAACACACAGATGAAGGCTCATTGTGGAAGTGCAGTAGCACGGCGTAGCAGACTACAGCAGCGGGAGGGCAGCATCGAAGTCCTGCATCGTGCTTTCATTTGAAAGGAGGGAGACCGCAGCCAAGGGGCCTCAGTTGCCTTCAGTGAAAACCAGTAAGGAATAGATTAACTCCTAACAGTTCCCCCTCTCGGTGATCCATACAAAGGAAATAAATCCACTGACCCGACTGAGACCAGGAACTCAGTCTGGCTCAGAAGAAAGCAACGATTTTTTTTCTAGCTTCATAGTTTTGTGCCGTGCTTTATTTTCTCCATGCTGACGAGACCCCATTTTCCCCTTCGCACGCCCACATGCCTCTTTCTCTCCGTAGCAGCGAGCTGTGACTTGGTACTTCCCAAGAGTAGAGGAAGCGGCAGGCATCAGGTTGCTCCCCACCTTGTCTTTTTGGGCGCCCTCGGGGTAAAAAGGCCACTTCTGCCTGGTGCATGGAGGTCTGAGCCAGCTACCAAAGCAAGCTCCAGGGACTTGTGCATCTCTGTGGGAGCAGGCAGGACCTGGCCCACTTGTGTATCATGGGATGTGCAAGGACGGAAAAAGGAGCGATAGGGTTTGTACATTTAAGTCTGGCTTATGGGTCACGCATCGTAGGCTTCCTCTGTGAGTTATCCCACATTAGTCAATAGGTCTCTGCGGAGGAAGGTCACCAATCATCCCAAGCGAGGGTCTGACCGACGCAGCTCAAAGGGACGTATCCCATTATGTTGGTAACAGCCATCAAAGCAACAGTGTCTTGGTCACTGGAGATCGATCTTTCTGCACAGCTGCCATGGGGAAAGCTTGACGAGAGAGTCCAAGCACACCAAAGAGGGATCTTCCCAGCAAACGGAGCTGCTATGACTGGCTTTCTTGCCTCTGATGTCAACAGGTTTTAAAGGACTCCATCGGCCCCCAAATTTGATGTCGCCTGAACACTAAGCTAAACTATGCCTCCCCCTCTGTGGTCATCTCCAGCTTCCACAGAGTATGTATTAAGGGATGCGGTCGTGGTCTTTCCACCCGTGTATGAGCACTAGGATCCAGGTGGATCCCCGGGATTCGTGTGCCGGTTGATGCAGGAAACTTTCCTATGTAGGAGCCCACTTGGTTCAATGGGGTCAGAGCTGTGGGCAGGTCCCCGGAGCAAAAGCTTCATTACTTGGATAGGCAAGGATGGCCCCCATCGGAGCAGGGAGCCAGGCAGCCAGTCGTGTAGTGTATCCCTGCCCCGCAGCCCGTCACTGAAGATCCCAGCACATTGCAGTAGTCCTCTACGGTCCAGTGAAAGGATCAGTACCCACAAGCTTGTTTTTCAGGATACATGGGGAGCTTTCCGCTTCCGCCATGAACAGTGCTCATTATTCCAGGTCTAGATTCATTTCCAGCCAGTATGTTGACTTATCAACGCGTCTCTGCTACGTGGGACCTACACAACGATGGTCAGTCCTGCAGGGCTGTTCAGGGGTGGAAGAAGCTGAGGAGGGTGATGCTGATCAGGGCTGCGGGTGGCAGTCCGTGCTGAAGTCTCTGGCCCAGTGATAGCAGCAAGAAAGGGTTGCAAGAATTGGGAGAGCAGGTTGCACTCGAACCACTAGCGCTTCTTCCTGTCCGCTGCAGTGTTGGCTCTACTTTGCTATGGGGACTGCACGCTGTCGGCGTGGCGGCACGTTTCACTTATTGAGCGTGCACGACGCATCACGATGGGACGAGCGCTTCCAGCAAGGTCTGTTCCCAGAAGTTCAGTTGCGGTTAAAAAGGAAGCAGTCCTTCCTCATCATCTCCGTCCGTTTAAAGGTCTTCCTGCTGTCTGCCTGGGTGATCTCCAGTGGTTTTTAGAGGTTTGCTTTCTAAGAAATGACAGTTGTGGAGGTGTGAAATCATGTCTCAATTTGTCCCTAAATTGTGGGTGTATTGGGTCTTCCCCTTAGCACAATGAAGCAGCAAAAATGCATGGTGGGCTGACTGGATCTTTTCAAATCTGTGGCTTTAAGGGACTGGAAAGAAGGGAATTCAGGGACGCATCAAAGCAGATTTCCCTCTGAACAAAAGCCATGTTTCCCCTCTAGTCTCTTAGCGAGCACTTTGAAGTAACAGTGACTGTATCTCGTTTGCTCTGGAGAGCGAGACAGACTTGACTGTAATAACAATCTCCGTTGAATCAAAGGTGTTTTTTGTTTTTTTTTTTAATTATTATTATTAAAAGTGAAATCACAACGCTGGAAACTTCTGTGCCAAACCAAAATAGAGTCCTTGAATGCGAGATGTGCTGTGCGTTTGTCTCTGTTCCAGCTTCCCGTGGCGATGTCTGGCTCCTTCCTATGGCCCTGGGGGCGCTAGGACTTGAAGGGATGAGTGGCACGGTGGGTTGCAAGCGGCATGGTGGGTTGCGACCACAACTTGTGCCCACGTAGTGCATGCTGGTGCTAATCCATTAGCAGTCCTGGCAGCTAACTCTGTCTCCCCCCTACCACTGGCTTCAGCCATTTCTTGCCTCTTCCCTATCCAAATCACTTGTGTTGTGGTCTCATCGAAGCAGGTCACCTAACAGCATTCATCCACCCGGGCTCCCCATCCTTCCCCATCTCCCCTGCGGTATCCTGCTGCTACCACTCCGAATATCTCTGTCACCCTAGCAAAGCCCTCGATAGCTCCCTCTGTCTCTGTCCATCCCCCTCCCCACAATTTAGGCAGATGCAATCATGTCTGAGCAGCCTGGTCCACGTGGAGATCAAGTTGCAGCAGTTCCTTGGATGTTAGGAAAAGCTTTCTCACGAGAAGACTCCCCAGAGAGGTGGTGGCATCGCCATCCTTGGAGGTTTTGAAGCCCCAGGTAGACAAAGCCTTGGCTGGGATGATGCAGTTGGGGCTGGTCCTGCTTGGAGCAGGGGGTTGGACTAGATGTGACCTCCTGAGGCCCCTTCCAACCCTCCTGTGCTATGACTGAGGTCCAAGCACAGGTGAACATGCAGAAAAAGGCTCTCCAACCACCCCTTGCCCATGACAAACACGTTGAGATCCCGTTACAAAAGCCCCGGTCCTGCTTCTCTTGTAGATGGGACCGAAAGCAAGAGACAAGACCGGGGGAGCAAGCAGCCATGTTGGTTCACACAAGCTCTGAGTCGGGAACGGAGGCGGTAGCGTTCAGGTGTGGAGAGTGACAGCAGGTGAGGACACGCGGTTTGGTAGAAGCGCTGCGCATCTCTCCGTACATAGGGAGAAGCAAAGGGGAAGGCGTGCTGGACCATGACTCTCCCGAAGGCCCAGAAGAGCACGCTGCCGTCTGTCCTGCTTCTTAATTAGATCACACTTGATTTTGTGCCAGCTCCTGACTGGTATCGGTGCGTCGCGTTGTGACCTTAGCAGAATGAATGTCGGCTTGCCAAGAGCAAGAATCTGCCCCTGGCCTTTGAAAGGGAGGGATGTCTCTGTGCCCAGGAGATGGGGCCTGCTTGCTTCACCCCTTCGCCAGCCCCCAGTGGAAACCGCAGCAGAGCGGTGCAAGACTTCATGAGGATGGGAAACACTCAGGACCCTGGCCTGGTGTGGCTGTTGGCAAGCCACGCTGCAGCCCCCTCGGGCCATGCATTTGGAGGCCAGGCTGCTGCCATTTGGCACTGGGGACTTCCACGGGCACCGCGTCTGCTTCCACAGGGAAGCTGCTAGCAGAAATGCCGGCTCCGACAGAAGGAGCGGGCAGCTTGGAGGAGAAGCGGTCAGTACCTCTGGCAAGCCATTTGGGGTGGAAAGAGGAAGGTGAATGCCCCAGAGGGAAGACAGCAACCCGCTGTGTAAAAGCCAGCCTGGTCTACTGGGGTTCGAGACTGCGGCTCGTTTTGATCCGTGGCCTTGCTGACGTCTTGGCTTCTGCTGCAGGGTCCTGACCTCTGCTATAGGACTAACGAGCCCTGAGATCTCAGCTGCAAGGCAGCACATCCTTGTGCTCTCCCTGGAGCATCTCCTACCCCCTCCCCTAGCACGTCATCAGTCTTTGGCCAGAGCGGCTGCCTGCCACCCGAGAAGGAAACTATCCCCGGGGCTGTGTAAGTGTCCGAGGCTGCGCTGCGAGCAGGGCTCCAACTCCTCCCAGTTCCCGGTCTTCCCACGAACTTCAGTGGAAACCTCTGAGCACATCCTCCTTCGTCTTCCTTGCCCCTGAAGATGAAGCATGCCAAACCCAGTAGACAAGATGACCGGACCAGGGTCGGGAATGTGAAGCCCAGGATTTGGCTCTGTTCAGGCTCTTGCACCCATTTTGCACTGGAGGCGCATTGAGGATACAGAGTCATCATCTCCCTTTTCTTTCTAGTGGAAAACGAATGAGGTGTGTAGGTTTTAATGTCTTTAGACTGGGTGAGGGTGTGTCTGGAGATGTGGCTGAAGAAACCCGGGACAGGGTGAGCTTGGCAGTGTCAGGATTGGTTTCATCACCAGACAAAGCTCCTTATGTTGGACCCTCCCACCATGCCTGACCGAAGGGCTAGCAGCTCTTTTCCCCATTCTTGCAGCCTGACTCCATCTCTTGGACGAGCTGGACCAAGAAAACACCCTGACAATGAGGACTAAGACCTCAAGCTGGAGTCCGTGGTACAGAAACCCGGTGTCAAGGCAGGTCACAGGGCACCGACGGCACCCAAGACGCATTCTGCGCCGGCTGCAATGTCCTCAGGCGGGTGACCCCTCGCCCAGGCAGCTTGCAGGGCTCCAGTGTTGGCTACAAATGTCCAACTTGGGATCCTTTAAATTCTGGTTTATTAGGCAGATTGAGACACTGTAATGAAGTCAAATCATAAACCTTGGGGCTGGTCCACACACACACACACAGTAGCGAGCTACAAGAGTCAGGTATACCTATCCCACAGGCACTGGAGTCTGCCATCGATGGCCGGTCGAGGCTTCTTCCAGCGTGGTGTTATCCTCCAGAAGGGGGTCGCCGGCTGGTCCTTCTGGATGGACAGGTCGGGTGCTGGTCAAGTTGGAGATCAAGAGGGTGCTGCTGAGGGTCACTTTTCACTGCTTTTTATCTGTCCTTGGCAGACTTTGGTGACTCCCCAGTTTTCAGTTTTGCCCAATCCAAGGATCGTTGACCCTCGTAGGACTTCCCCCTCGGTGGCTACTGGATGGCATCTGTCAGCCCCAGGGGTCATCCACATGTATGTGCAGGTTTGGGAGTCCGTTAATTAATTTTGAATGGAGCTTTGGGAGCGGTCGATCTGGAGATATTCAGCCCCAAAGTTGGTCCCCCGTGTTGATTAACTCAGGCCAGGGCTTCTAGCCCTTGATCAGTGACGTTTAGAGATTTCCTGGTTGTTACATTGTCTCCTATTGATTTCTTCCATTGTTTGATCTGCAGTTTCCCTAGGTGTTAATTGCGGCCTGCTACTGTGTTAGGCATTCAATCGCTGATTCACTCACTGATCCAGGGGCCCCCCTGATGCAGGGAAGTGGCAGTTTGATTCCTGCCCTTGTTAACATTGTTACAATGTATAACTTACTTCTAAAACTAAAACACTATTAGTTAAGAGGTGAGGAGTATAAAATATAAGCTACAAGAGTAATGCCATGGCACACAAATAGATAAAAATACCAAAATACAAGGGGCGATACAAAATACATACAAACAAACTTTGAAACACAATTCCTTATCTTATACTGGAAGAAAGAGGAAGGAAGAAAAGGTAGAAGAGGAGAAACACATCCACAGAGGGTAGAGCAAATGCAGGCAAGAGGAAAAGGGGGCTTTCTGCTACACCAGTCCCCAGTGGAGCCGACCCCATCGCCTGTCCCCAGAGTCAAGTAATCCTCTGCCCACTCTGCCATGGCTGGTGAGGAGCTCAGACGCTGCCCACAGTACGGCCTGATCTTCCCCGAGCTCTTGTAATGCAGAGCCTAAGTGAAGAGCTGGCAGCACCAAAGCAGAGAGGGGCGAGCACCAGGACCGTGGAGACGGGGCACCACAGCATGATGAGCAGAGGTTTCTCTGTGCCAACAGACCCACCTCAAGACTACCTTTTGGCTCCAGGCCTCTTCCTGGCCCTGAACTGGCCCCTCTTTTTCCCCCTCCCTGCAATGAACAGCCACTGCTGAAGCACCGCGGCTGGGGCAAGCCAGAGCCCCTGCAGCCTAGCGAAGGCAGGAAGCCAAAGCGCCGACTGGGAGACCCTGCAAAGGCTCCGACATAGCAGAGCCCTGGCAGGCGACAAGCTGTGCCCAACTCACCACCCCATCGCCACAACAGGTGGTTGTGAGCCACCAACGTCACAAGCAAACCTGCAGCTTCTAGCCACCCACAGACATAGGTCCTCTTGACGAGCGCTGCGACACATAGGAAAACAGAGAAGGAAATGAACTGGGGCAGCCCACAGATGAGGAAACCACAAGCGCAGTACATCTGAGCGCTTCTAACCTCAGCAAGTCATCAGCAGCCCCATGACACTGGTGCCAGGCAGGCCTGACTGCTCCGGGGCCGGGTGACCGGCTGCTGCGAGGAATCTGGAGAAGGGGACGGAGCTGGGGCCTTTAGAGAGACAAAACCTCACAGCTGGGGGGAGCACAACTCTGCAGCCTGCAAAAAGCAGGGCCTTGGCGCCCTTGATGCCAAGGGGTGGGAGGGTGTGCCCATGAGCTGGGTGCAGAGCTAGCCTCAGTGAAGCGCTGAATTTGCCTGCACCAAGTCAATGCTATCAGCGCTTCTGGGGGCAGGCAGGGGTGTGTGTGTGTGTGTTCAGGTGCACCCTTCCAGGCACTGGGGCTCTGCACAACACGTCAGTGAGGCCCCGCGAGGCCTCCTCCTCCCCTACAGCCTTAGACCAGTCCACCACTGTAAACGAGGGCAGGTCAAAATAACTCAGCTGGCTGGACCCCAATAGCACCAGCAGCATCAACGGTACCAGATGAAACGGTCACCGAGCCTTTCTTTTTAGACAGGAATTGACAGCAAGAAGCAAAGCTGTCGTGTGGTGGGGCCGGGTCAGGGTGACGTGGTATCCGCATGGGGCAGAGGAGGGACCAGGCCACACGGGCTTTGTTCTCCCTCATCTCCCCACCTCAAACCCCACAGCTGGAGATGGGCCCAAGGAAATCATGGGGAGGGACATGACCAAGGCCGCGCAGGGCAGCAGTGGCAGAGAGTGGCTCCTGCCTGGGGAGCAGGGAGGTGGAGGCCCCTCCGTGCCCCACATCAGGGGCTCCCAGGCTCAATTTGCTTGGCGACGTGGCAGCATTTGTACCCTGCACCTGCTTCCCAGGCTTCTGCCCCTGCCCTGCCCCTTGTGCCCTCAGCCCTGACCAGGACCCCCGCTCCATCCTTGCCCTGCCCAGCTCAGCAGGCACCGGCACTGCTGCATTTTCCAAGTTTCGGAGCTGTGAAGCCAACCTGCCACTTCCCCGCTGCCCATCCTGTCCCCCACGGGCCCCGAGCTGCCCCCAGGCAGCCACAGGGTGCAGGCTCAGCTGGAGGCAGCAGCCCCCGACGCCCGGACAGCCTTCTCCTCCCCAGCCTCTCCCTGCTCCCCACATCGAGGCAGAAGCTCCCCCACTGTGCAGGTCCTGCCCCGCCCCCCGCCCCCGGCTCTAACCACTGGACCACACTGCCGCTGCTCCTTCGTACAGCCCAGCACACTGGTGAAGGGGGCTAACAGGCGAGAAGGGATGTCCAGGAGGGTCCCATGGGGTGTTCGCCTGGCACGGGGACTTCCCGGCTGAGTGAGCACAGTGCTGGAGCAGCTGACAGGCGGAGCCGGGCCACACGCAGTCAGCTGGGCATGACAGAGCGGGCACGGCTGGGCCACACCTGACTGAGCCACTGGCAGCGGGGTGACTAGGGGGTTCCCCCAGTAGCTCCCCCATACCACTGGCCCTGTAGCCCCTGACAGGCATCGAGGACCCTGTCACCCCCAGGGCCTGGCCTGGGCCATTCCCCATGGCTCGCTGTGGGAAGATGACAGCGGGGGTTCCCCTTGGCCTGGTGCCGATGAGTCAGCTCCACGCAGGCGGGGCCTCGGCTCTATAAGATGTTGTCTCCTGTGCCTGGAGCCAGCAGGCAGGATGTGCAGTCCAGGGGCAGGTAAGGCTCTGCAGACAGGGGCAGGACTCAGCGCTGCTGCTGCCCACGGCCCTGCCCTGCTGCAGTGGGGTTGCTGCTGGCATGGGAGGGGGTCCAAGCCCCCTTCCAGATGCAAGAGGCCTGGGGGAGAGGAAGGAGGGGCAGCTGTGGCGGATGTGGTGGGATTGGGGAGCAGCTAGAGGGCTTTGTAGGCACAGGGAAGACCCCTCTGCCCATTGCACAGGTGGGAAAACTGAGGCACAGTGAAGGGACAGCTTACCCCAGCAGAATCGCTGCCCCCCACCCAGCTCCCTCTCCCCCCGACCCCTACCAGGCTCAGCGTTGCCTCTTCTGCTTGCAGATCCCAGGAGCGTGGGCGCGTGGCTCCCCCTCGTCCTGCTCTGCGGCTGTGTCCAGCTCTGCCGCACGGGTAAGGCGTGGGCAGGTTGGGGCGAGGCTGTGGCCAAAGCCTACTTAGGCAGGGGGGAGAAGCAGGGTCCCCTTTGGGGCACCTGGGCTGAGCCTGGCCCCTGACCGTGCCGTGCCTCAGTTTCCCTGCCTGTACAGCCAGTGCCCTACCCCCCAGAGCCAGGCAGAGCAGCGCCCCCAGTCCCAGACCCCCTCCCCCACTTCACCAGCTGCTCTCTGTCCTCAGATGCGAGCTCCAAGCTGCTCCCGGAGAT